TAGACACTATACTCCTATTTATGCAGGCCAAAAATCCATTGTAGTCAAAATCATGGGTATTGTAAAACACAATAAACTATCTTGTTCTCACAGACTTGATCCCAATGAGAATAAACCAGTTGGTCTAGTGGAAAGGTCAACATGTCTATACAGTGAGCCTCCAGTATCTGTTGAGGTCTTGTTCCAGACTCTTTGTGGATACCAAAATCCAAATACCATTGTGTACAATGGCATGGTAAAATCATGTCCATTATACAAAAGGACAAAATCAAGTTTTGCTTCTGCTATTTTAAAACATATTTTAAAGCTGTGGATGACTGAATCTGTGGATACAGAATCAGTAGATACAGAGGGCCAATGGTAGTTTAAGTGCAGAGAGTGTGAAATGCACTATTATAAGTGAGAAGATATTTAAAAAATATTGAATATGAATTTATGTAACTATGATACATAATCAGATTTGTCAAAGCCATAGCAAATCCCAGAATAGCCATCAAAGTTTTTGGTTCAGAACTTGGTAATGATAGAACAAAGACAAATTATATTTTTGTCACTTCCGAAAATACTTACAGCTTACATGGAGAAAAAATATGTGATTAAGCAAGCATAGAAAACATGATTACAAATCACATATTTATTGCAGCTCCAGGAAATGAAAATGTTGAAATAGAACAGTCAGGATTCACGCGCCTTTCCTTTCCTTCGTCTTAAAGAAGCATGTCTCAAGTAAGCCTCCCAGTCTTCCATTGGCCTGTTTTTCAATGATGTTTAGCAACGTGATTGTTTTTGGCTTTGTTTTAAAATAATACTTTTGTTCACTTGAGACCACCCACCAGCGACTTCTCTGAGATTAAGGCAGTCTTGTTAACATTCTCATGAAGCAAATAAAGAAAAGCAAATGACTTTGACATGTGCCACACTGCAAAATATTTCATTGCCACAGATCTAGGACAAATCTGCTGTGACAGAGTCCCAAATGAATTATGCAGATTCACAGCAATAAAAACGGATATGCTTCTGCCTGGCAGTTGCATGTGTTGTTTATGGCATAGATTACTTTTGAAGACTTAAGACTGCTTTTTTAAAAGATTCACTGGTAAGATTGAAGACTGAATTAGCCTATTAGAAGAGGTTGTGGTGGCTTCCATGACAGTTGTATTTGTTTATAATACTAATGATGTTTAATGCTCTTTTAATATTTGTATATTTATATGTTTCAAATTGTATGTTGATTTTTAAAAATATTAAGATGCTTTGAGTCTCCTGCAGGGATAAGGCAGGGCATAATAATAATAATAATAATAATAATAATAATAATAAACATTGACAAAATCATGATCTGTCAACTGCAAAAGGCCACCTTACTTGGATCTGCACGCATCATTCAAAAATACATCACACAGTCTTAGACACTTGGGAAGTATTCAACTTGTGATTTTGTGATACAAAATCCAGTATATAGATCTCATTTGCTGTGACATACTGTGTTTTTGTGTCAGTAAAATAATAATAATAATAATAATAATAATAATAATAATAATAATAATGGAAAAGCTGACGTGATACGAGGATTTAAAGATAGAACTGCAAAGACTCTGGCACAAGCCAGTAAAGGTGGTCCCAGTGGTGATTGGCACACTAGGTGCAGTGCCTAAAGAACTTGGCTTGCCCTTAAAAACATTTGACGCTGATAAAATTACCATCTGTCAGCTGCAAAAGGCCACTCTACTCGGATCTGCACACATTATTTGCCAATATATCACATAGTCCTAGACACTTGGGAAGTGTCCGACATATGATCAAATACAACAGCCAGTATAGTGATCTTGTTTACTGTGTACTAATCTTGCTATTTATCTAATAATAATAATAATAATAATAATAATAATAATATAAATAAAAATGGTGTTGAAACTCTGAAGGTGTTATCTAAGGTGTTGACCCCTTTCTCTTTCCCCAAAAAAACGTCAACCCCTTCCAAAACTCTTTTAAAAGCTAAAACCTGGAATTCCTGCTGACATAGAAACCAACAGCTACTGCCAATTTCAGCCAACATTTGGAAGCCAATATCTCTGTTGGTGAAGTCACACTTTTTAAAAATGTGGGAAATGTCCTATCCCAGAATGCTATTCAAAGGGCTGAAAAAGCTCAACTTTTGAGGTGAGCACTTCACCTAGTGTCTTCTGGAGGGGTGGATCAGCTAGTCTTTGTTGAGCAATATACCCTGCAAGAAGTTTTATTCTGTGGTGAGTATCCCTACCTATTGATCTACTCACATTTGCATGTTTTCTAATTCCTAGGTTGGTAGAAGCTGGGGCTAACAGCAGGAGCTTACTCCGCCCCTTGGATTTGAACCACTGACCTTTCAGTCTGCAAGTTCAGCAGCTCAGCGGTTTAACCCCCTGCGCCACCGGGGGCTTGAGACTACTGCTAACAGAGGGTATTTTTGTTCAAAATTTTTCCCAGAAAACTTGATTTTATTAGATTACAGGCATACCATCACTAGGTGACAACCCTCTCAGGTCTAGGTCCTGAAATCTCAAGGCTAGGGATGCCTCTGACAAGACAACCAGGAGAGAGGGCATAAGGCATGCCAGATGCATAGGACTCTACTTCTCCATCTGTACCAGTGCAGTTCTTAACATAGATTTTTTTTCCACTTTGTTTTGGCAACGTGCCTCAGCCCTCTTTTCACTTATTAATCATCGAAGATACAACAGACATGGAAAATGAGGCAGCTTTTGGAAAGGCAAGGCAGTGACATCAATGAAGCAGCCAAGTTATGCAATCAAATGTTCTCCTTGCTTAAGCACACATGGATGAACAGTCAACAACCTCTTCTTTAACTGGCTTGTTAGGGATGATAAATCTGTCTTTTGGATACATGAGGGCTAGTCCTTGGTGCATTACAATCCTTCAGTGTTCAGTGGCCTTCTGTGGGGAAAAATAACTGATTTATTATGCCAGTGGCCTCCCGAACAATCCATGAGTTTATCTGTGTTAAGTGCTGTACGAGCTAATATAAATATACTATATTTGTGTGTATACGACGTATGTGCCTTCAAGTTGCCCATCAATTTAATGTGATTCCATGAATTTCACAGGGGATTCTTAGGGAAGGAATACTTGGGAATAGTTTTGATAGTATCTTCCTCTGAAATATAGCCTACAGCACCTGGGTTGCATTGCCAATCTTGCTTAGCTTCCATGATCAGATAGGATCTGGTGCCTTTAGGACATTTTGACTGTTACCCGACTAGAAATCTCAAATGTGCTAGGCAGAGGCTGAGAAAAATGAATGGCTGTGCAGGTGTCACCCCCCCCCCCCGCCCCCAATTTGATTTGGTATTCACAGAGAAACATAGATTTTGCTGATCTGTCATTGTTTACATTTCACTACCCACCCAGTGTGTGTTGCTATGTAGATTCATGTACTTTGTGAAAGTGGTACAATATTTTGCACAAATTGTTTAGAATGTACTTCATACATCTTTTTGGCTATCATCCCAAGTATGGAGTGCCTGGTTCTTGTGCCTACCTTAGTTGCAAGTGGTGTTCAGAAGTGTCCAGTTTTTCATTATTGCCTTTCTGGTGACCCCCACCCTAGTCATCTTTCTAAGCTTCAGTTAAAGCTCAGGAGAAGTTAGCATGAAGTAACTCAATTGTTGTTCTGCTGATGTGCTTTCAACCTGTCATGGAGCCTTGTTGTCAAGACTTGTTCACAGAAGGGCTTTTATTGACTTTCTTTGAGGCTCAGAGACTGTGACTTGTCCAAGATCAACCCATGGAGTTTCCATAGCTGATCAGGGATTCATACCTGGTCTTCTGCAGTCCTTCTGCAGTCCTACTGATTCCCAACTTAAAACCAATGCATCTTAAAACCAGGAAATGCAATGAACTGGAGAAACTATGGAGAGAAATGCAAAATCAGTTGGAAGAGGACCCTTCCATACAGCCCTATATATCCCAGAATATCAAGGCAGAAAATACCACAATATCTGCTTTGAACTGGGTTATCTGAGTCCACATCAGATAATGCGGGATTTTCTGGGATATAGGGCTCTGTGTAAGGGCCCAGAGACAACAAAAGCCATTCAGTTCAACCCCCTAGCCACTTAGTAGAGGTACTAAAAATCCCATTTCCTGGATTGCAAAGAGACATAATGGGATATCGTCAAGAGTGTACAGGGTACATTGTACACTGATGTCCATCACATAGCCATGCACATCATCTCTGCAATGACCTCTACTAGAAGTGGATATTATGCAACTGCACAGTTCTAATTCATACAGTGTTAATTGCACCTAGGGAGATGTAAGGGCCCAACTGGATTCTGGCAAAGGAATTTTAAAGTGCCCCATGAATGAAATAAAATTATTTCTTCCTTTTTCATTGACAAAAAAAACCCCCAAAACCAAACTTCTGGGGAAGTGGACACCAAATTTCAACACAGCAATAGATCACAAGATATATTACTAAGAGCATTTCTAATTGTTAGCCTGGTAACTAGAATGACAACTGATAGCCATGTATGAATATGTGAGGGGAAGTTATAGGGAGGAGGGAGCAGGCTTGTTTTCTGCTGCCCTGGTGACTAGGACGCGGAGCATTGGCTTCAAACTGCAGGAAAGGAGATTCCACCTGAACATTAGGAAGAACTTCCTAACTGTGAGAGCTGTTCAGCAGTGGAATGCTCTATCTCACAGTGTGGTGGAGGCTCCTTCTATGAGGCTTTTAAACAGAGGCTGGATGGCCATCTCTTGGGGGTGCTTTAAATGTGATTGTCCTGCTTCTTGGCAGGAGGTTGGACTGGATGGCCCATGAGGTCTCTTCCAACTCTATGATTCTACAATTCTATGAAATAGGCCATAATCTTCTATGACTTTTTGGAGATTTCAGAACAGCAAGGTGGAGTAAGTTTTTAAAAAGAGGGAACAAAGAAAAATGTCTAGAATATGTTTAGAAGATGTTCATGTTCTATTTAGAAACCTTTTGTTGAACTTTAATTGGGCAGAGGTCAACCGAGAACCAAAAGCTAGAAACAAAAGCACAGTCATCACCGAACAAAACATCTGCTATTTTCTGGATTGCTAATATATTCCTCCGGCTGGTCCTGTCTTGGATTCAGAGCACACCACAATATCTTGCTTGTAGGCTGGATCTAGTGTTGCCCGAGGGATTGAGATACGTGGTTTGGATTTTAGGTTCTGGAAAGAAAATTGGATCTTCATTAATCTCAATATAAGTGGAAAACAAACAAACAAACTCATGAACCATGTAACTAGAATAATCAACACTGGGTAACCGTGACAGGATATCAGAAACAAATTCACTCCAAAATCAGAGTGAACCAGCCATCAAGGAGAAACAAATGGCAAATGCACTGTTGTATTCACAGGTGAGAAAAGAGTGAGGAAATGTACCTTTTCACACTATACACAGTTACAGTGCTCTGATTCTACTTTAATTGGTATGGCAGAATTCCTATTGAATTCTGGGATTTGCAGTGTGGTGGGGACCTAGAGCTTTCTAGTTGAGAATTCTAAATGCCCATCTCCAAATTGCAAATCCCAGGATTGCATAGGATGTTGTCATGGTGCTTAAAGTGGAACTAGAGTGCTATAACTGTAGTTTGAAACAGCCCAAAGAAAAGAGCTTGCTCTATGGCAGGAAAATCTGCATCCACTTCTGTTTAAAGCTGTGCCTAAGAATAAAGTACAAACAACAAAACAAGAGTGAAACATAGCAATAATTGAACTTCTAATGGAGGAGGAGGAGGAAATCTGTTTCAGAACTCCAAACTTTGACCAGCACTGTCCTGATGGATTTGAGCAAAATGAATCTACCATAAGTAGTGCTCTTGCTCATGTCCTTACTTAGTTCACACATCAGAGACTCCTGAAGGAAAATTCCCAGGAACTTTGTCTGCAGAAGATAAGGGAACTGAAATCTCATTGCTACTGCTAAATAGTGTTTTTGTATGTTGTACAGGTTTGTGTGTAAAAATAAAGACAAAGCACATGTTACAAGCTTCATTTCTTCCTTGAGGAGCCCAAAATTGGAAACAAGGGAGCTGACTGATGACAAGATATTTAGGGGCTGGAGATGTCAGGGAGATTACAAGTGTCTGATTTTTGGACTCTCAAGGTTTTTTCTCAAATGTATATCATAAATAACACAATACCCTTCCTCCTCAGAATTTAAGTGAAAGCCATTCTGTCCTGCTGTAAATAGAATTACAAAGAACTTCAATTCATGGACCTAATTTCAATATATAAAAGATTCTACTTGGTTGAAAGCCTCCCCAGGACTCAACTTACACATTTGATTCATAGAGTATGCCTGACCTGAGACTACCACGACAGTATTTTATCTGTCCCATGTTTTATATGAAGTGTGGGAAATTTACCTTTGGCTGTAGACAATTCTCATTTGCTGAAAGCAAGACGTCTTCCTCAGCACCTTCTTTATCGGGTGCTAACAAACAGGGTAGAAATAACAGAAGGATTACACACAGGAAGAACTGACACCAGATGTCCGGCCACAGAACCTCATTTAGACTTAAACTAAATGCATTTCCGAGAGAATGTGACTATAATGTGCTGCTGAAATTTCTGAACAAGATAATGAGACACAGTCTATTTTTCTGTGGATGTTACACTTGCAGATATTAAAATTAACAAACTTTGCTTCTTAATGGTACCTGATTTACATATTTGCTGACTTCCTGTTTGTTTGCATTTCCTTTCACATTCTCTTTCTATACCACTGCAGCCATTTCGTATTTTCTTTTTTTCTCTCTCCTCTGTTAGACCATGAATTTTATTATGTACAAGTAACATGAAGTAAGGCTACATTTATATATTTTACAAAGAATACTTAGCATGTTGCTGTCTCTACTAGATCCTATAGGTGGGTAGGTGAGGGACTGGTTGTTGTTCAGCTTCTGCCTTGCTTGAGAGACTTATTACCATCCCTCATATTTCCTAATAGCTGTGTTGTGGTTGCTACAGACTGCTCATCTATCACTGTCACTGGCAACAGTGATTTGTGTAATATGGGTGGCATGGATCTGATGGATATTTTCACAGCATTCTTTTCATTCACTGAATGATCCACATTTAACCATATGAAACAGAAGCACTCAACCTGACAAGAATTGACTTGCCTTTCATGATGACATCCAAAGATTACATGCTTTCAAAGCATTTGGTTAACTTTCTAAACATATTTTAATCTTAAATAGCCATTTTAAATAGATAAACAGTTGAATGGAAGGTTATTTTTTTCTATTGTCTTGATTTTCCTACATTAATAACAAATATGTATTTTAATTTTTAAAAACCTTCCAAACGTACACACTTCTTGCCCTCTCTTTTTTCACAATCAATAGAATTATTTTACAGGACTTTTAAAAGGCTAGATCCGTCTTTAGCCACATTTTACCTCCCTAAAGTCAATGGAGCAATTTAGACATGTCTAACTTACTGTTGATGACTTAATGTAGACATGTCTAACTTAATGTTGATGAGACTAAAGGCTAACATAGTCCAGATCTAAGCCAAAGTAATTTTTTTTAAGTTTTCATATGCCATAAATGGTAATGTATTCTGTATTCTTTCCATTTCCCTGATTAAAAATATTTCTGTCATTGTGACACATTCTTTACTCATCTACGTTTGCACATCAGAATAGCTAGAGAGCACATAACACTGCATACCTTGAGTGCTTCCTGCTTCAACACTCTGTTGTGTGACTGTGGATTTATTTGGCGGGTAGTCTTCAGGCTTGAATGGGGAAGCAAGAATGCAGATCTCTGGCACTGTATATAGCACCAGGAAAACCCATCCATTCACCACCAGAGTCACACCAATGATAGGGTCATCCCACTTGCTTTGAATAGTCTCATAAGACATGCTACTCCTCAGGAATACAGAGATCCATGTAATCCAGATGACTATGGAGAACAGCAGAGTGACAAAGACGTGTGTCCCATGCTTCTTCCACCCTTTATATGCCCCACAGAAAGTGAACATGGAAGTTACAAAAGCAAGGACCATTAGGACAACCACATAGATTGCCAGCATGACAAAGTCCTTGTTGCGTTGTTCTCTTCCCATTCTGGCCAAGTCAATGTTATCTCTTTCTACCATAATGACAATGTATGTGACAGCTATGATAACTTGAACCAATGTGAATCCAAGAACACAGAGCAGCAGTGATTGTTGTGAATAAGGGACCTTTCCTCTCACTAGCCTAATGAGGTTGAAGGCATGGGTCAGAAGGCAGGAGAAGCAGAGGGCAAAAAGGACCCCGTGTAAGACGAAGCGAGCAGGGCCAGTCTTCTTACTAAGTCGGACGATGAAGGCAAAGGTGAGGCTGAGGATTCCCAAAGTGCCCATGATGAAGAAGAACTGAATGGGGACCATGTTTTTCTTGTTTTTGTCTTTGACTATGCAAGCAAGCACAGTGAATAACAGCAAGAGTATCAAAGAGGTCAGGATGCCTGCAGCGGCCACAGTTGCTAGTCCAATGCCCCAGGCTTCACAGATGTCACAGAGGAAATAATAATCGGGGTCAATGTTGCCACAACCAGGAGGAGGCGGAGCTGCCATTACTGTGGTAGCCATTACAAATGGTGCTTCTGTCCTAATTGGAGGGAGCAACTTCAGGGAAGAAAAAGAAATTGTGATAGAATTCAGTGATCCTAACACCTGAGTGCAATTACTGACACTGATGTGTAACGCTATTGTCAGGCAGGTAAATGAATCTTAATTTTATAGATAGGTTAAAATTAGCATTGACAGGAGGTGACTTTCAAAAGAAAGCTATATTTTAATGCTGGTTTACCCAAGTAAAATTGTGCCCAGTGGTTTCAAGGTATTTTGTTATTGCTTTTATTATAGAATAAAATGTTCCGTTTTGTGGTCACTGTTTCCATCAAGTATGGTCCAAACCATTTTATCTTGTGAGGGGGGGGGGGGGGAAGTGATGTTGCCATAACAGCAACAACAGCAACAGTGGGAATAATATGAGTTTTTTGGACCAAGACTTGAGAGATCCAGGTTTCAGAAACTCAGTAACCACCCATTCTTTATGATTGACTTACCTCACATGACTGTCAATAGGATAAAGCTGAGAGAAGAAGAACCATGTACATTGCCCTGAGCTCTTTGGAAAACAGACAAGCTATGAATGCAACTAATGAAAATAAATAATAATTGAATATTTACTACTCCCACTACCAACACAATAATCTTTTCATTGATTCAGGTGAGCTCAAAAACTATGGCACTATTGCACTGTTAACTTTTAATAGTACATGCTATTAGCTAAGTTGAATATTTTTGGATACCTGGTAACACTATAACTGAATAGGAGGGTAGAAATGGTGGCAGATGGACAGTGTTGCAATTGCATTAGGAAGATCTGGAATCATACAACCATAGAATCAGAGAGTTGGAAGATACCTTGTGGGTCATCCAGTTTAATCCCTTGTCAAGAAACAGGAAACTCGCATTCAAAGCAGTTTCTTGTTAGCTGGGTAACCCTGTTAATGAGCTAGGATTTTCAGGATTGTTCTGTCTCACACTGTAACAACCTCATATTATTGGTTATGTGCTTGACATGGGATTATCTTGCTCTGAGCTCCTTGAAGGAAACATAGGATATGAATGCAATAAATAAAATTAATCATTACTATTATAGAATATGGCTCTTCACATCACAAGTCCAGGTTTTAGAAGGAAAAAAGACAAGAAAATAACATTGTGCATTTTTGTTCAAAACTAGTACAAGAAAAGACAGGCAAACTATTCATAGTACTATGGACAGAGTTCCCAAATATGATTGGCCTATAAAGCAGGCAAGCAATCTTGTTGAACCATCTTGCATCTTTTTAAGATAAAACTTTATCTCACTGGATCAACCTCTTTCACTTACCTTTGCTGTAATATGGTTGGAAAACAAGGCTTTGTTGATGGGGAAAATCAGAAATTTGCACAGCTTCCAATAGGAAGAAAGAAAAGGAAGCCCAAACTGCGCTTGATCTTGTCTGTCCTTACCAATGTCACTAGCCTGCCCGAGTAGCACTTAGAATGACCAAATCTATAAATGCTAACATTATTATTAGTTAGACATGTTTTCTTTTTGAGGAGCTGGGGATCCAGAAAACACTCCCAAGGCAACTGAAAATCAAGGAGGGCACACCTATTCTGGTTCCACCACAGTCACTGTGGTCATTTGTAGGAACAAATTGCTGTCTATGTCATGTATTTCTTCTTGCACATCTCTCATTCTTTTCAAATCACTTGAAATGTTAACACAAGCTGTACTCATGGTGAACACCCAATGCACATTTATGTTTTAGAGTTTAAAATATATAGATACATTGGGTGTTCGCCATAAATACAATGTGTGTTCGCAAAGGGTTCCTATAGGATCAAAAAGCATTTCTGATATAAATGTGTTCTGAATCCTGGCTGTGATTATGATTGCAAATGATATTTGTTTCCTTCAAAAGTACTGGAAGGTCTCCTGACCATGTACTACAAATTCAATAGTGTTGTTACATGCACACAGAGGCCAAGGACATCCAATTTTGACAAACCCTATTTTAGCTTTCTTGAGAGTAAAAAGCCAATGCTTTTCTATATAAAGTCATATGTAACGATGAACACAATAATATTTAATATTTTCCTTTGGCAGATTAGCCTAATATGCAGTTGTAAAATACATCTATGTAGGAAGAAGTATGCAAAAAAATGGGTGGTATCTTATTGGTCTTTAAAACATTGTAAGTAACATGATTAGTTTCTCTTTAAGAAGTGACATTCCAAGTTCAGCAAAGGATGAATATTATAATGACAGGATGTGCTGATGATGTTGGCCTAATATTAGTCCTAGCTAAAGCAGAGTCACTGGATCAGGTGCCATACCTAGGTAAATCCCATTGCTTTTGGGCGTGACTAATAGAATTCACACTCCTGTTTGCATCTCCAGGCGTTTACATCTGAAAGCCATCCAAAACTAGGAATGTTTGGAAACCAGGCTGAAACAGTTACGTGCTTGGAAGTGATATAAAAATAGGACTGAATCTGTGTTAAAGAGTTGGAAGTGACTGAATGAATAAACGACAACAAAAAGCAGTGCATTTGCACAATTGAAACTGATGCACCAATTGTGCCTATTCCTTGGGACATCTGACTTGAACATATGGACATATGCTTTAGTTGTGTCTTGTTTGCATTATTGTAATGCATTCTACACATGGCTGCCTTTGAAGACTGCTTGAAAACCACCTGATCCAAAGACCTGGAGCCAGATTTTAACAGGGGCTGGATATAAGGAGCATATGAGGCATCAATCTAAGCTGCTATATAATGCAGTTTCAGAACACAGTTTAACTGCTGTGAACTACACTGCAGTGTAGATTCCTATAATCCAGTTCATTGCAGTTAAACTGCATTCTGAAACTGCATTACATGGCAGTGTAGATGAGGTCTAACTCTTTTTCTACAGCAGCTCCAGTTTTTGCCGATCTGTTTCTAGACACAATTAACAATGTTGCTTATGACTTATTAAGATCTAGACAGCTTGTGTCCAGATTATCCCAAGGACCTTAACTTCCCATATGAGCCTGCCCAAATTCAAAGTCCTTTAGGGGTGGCACTGCCATCAACTGCACCTTCACAAGCATTTGTGGTGGGAATGCTGGAGAAGACCTTCTCCATGGCTGTGTCTATATTTTGATACTCCATTCCTTAGGAAGGCTAGGTAGCTCCTGCCATTCTGTTTTTCTGCATTGTTTTTTATTTATTTATGTTTTTAATGTTTTTATAGTTGTAATTCTATAGACAGTCTATTATTATCCTAAACTTAAATTTTTGTATATCTTATATACACTCATATAAATATATATTCCTGTAAGCCTTCTTGAGTGCCACTTTTGAGGGAAAGGTGAGATACGGTGATTGGTTTATTGATTGATTGACCGGAATGTTCAGACAGATTGTCACTTAATTAAAGTATGCCTCTTTTCACCCAAAAAGGTTCTCTTGATGAGACCAAGCAGATGCAATGGCAACAGAGAAGAAAGTTCCCTTTATTAGTATGTTTACAGGCTGCTAAAATCAAGTAGCTGTTTTGTGCAGGCTGATCTGTGCTAACAGTTAAAGATTAGAAAATAAGATTCAGCAATAGCGAGATCAATTCAGCACAATGTACTTTATTTTGAGATAAGCAAAAAGGTTATGAATGGTCTGCCAGAAATGGTTTGTGGCTAGTGTGAATACCCAGCAAAGATGGAGCGCCTAGATGGGTGGCATTCCATCTATTTCTGTCAAGGACGCTGTTGTTACCAATGATCCTGATACAATAAATTAGGGTTTTGAACAGCTTTATAGTAGGTGTTATACATCTCTGCCTACTTACAGCCTGGAACTGATGCATCTTTAGATAGATGTACTTGAAATGCTCTTTCTGAAGAGCAAGCAGTTGCGCTTGATAATCCTATTGCAAAAAAGAAGAACTGCTTTGACTTACAGCTACAGTCGGGTTACAGTCCAGCAACCCCTACGGCAGTTTTCCAAAGTTACCATGAAAATTGATCAGCCCAGGCACAAAATCTACTCAGCTGCCCTTTACCCCGGTGACTGATGGGGAATGAAAATGAAAAGAGGATCCTGCTGGGTTGGTTAGTCTGTTTGGTAGTGAGACCAAAGGGCTTCTTTTTAACACCAGGGCTCTTCGAAACTCTGAAAGTAAACACCTTCATTAGCTGATTGGAGAACATGCTGAGCGTCCCTTAAAGTGTATTTTCAGTTCCATTTCTCCAAATACTCCCCCTGTCCATTAATAATGAAGGACTGCTTAAATTGATTAATGACATGCACAGCAAGACCAGGAACAAATCCCGCAAAAGCACAGAAGAGCAAGCGACAGCCAAGTTCTAACTGTGTTTACTCATAAGTCCAGCCAATTAATTTCTTTTCTCATTGTCCTAAATGATTAGTAGTGCTTGCTTAATGATGGTAATTCATTAAGAACTAGGTACCAGAATTTTGCCCCAGCAGATCAGGAGGAGAGGGGAAAACAAAATCTTTGCATACCGCCCAAGACAGCAAGGGGTGGGAATTACTATTATATCATTATTTTTAATTATGTATTTCTCACCCACTTATCACTCAAGATTGGGATAGAAAATTGCTTACCACATTTCAAAATATCAATTATAACATTATAAGGTAAAGGTTTCACCTTGACATTAAGTCTAGTTGTGTCCGATGCTGGGAGGTGGTGCTCATCTCCATTTCTAAGTCAAAGAGCCGGCATTGTCCATAGACACTTCCAAGGTCATGTGGCCAGCATGACTGTATGGAGTGCGGTTACCTTCCCACCGGAGCGGTACCTATTGATCTACTTACATTTGCATGTTTTTGAACTGCTGGGTTAGCAGAAGCTGGAGCTAACAGTGGAGCTCACTCACTCCCCAGATTTGAACCGTCATTCTTTCAGTCAGCAAGTTCAACAGTTCAGTGATTTAACCTGTTGTACCACTGGGGGCACACTATAACACTGTAGTACTGTACATTGCAATTATAAAAGTATACATAGTTATGTATCAACTTTAATAAACATGTTAAACAATTAAAATTCCATTTGTTTCATTATTTTAAAGGACAGTTGTAAAGTTTTGGCTCTGCCTTTTCCTCTCCTATGCTTTAGTTCTTCGTTTATAGGTTTTCCCATAGTGTAGATACAT